TCTTCAGTCTCAGAAATTCACATTTGCTTCGTCTACCTTTCCTATTGCAAGTGCAACAGTGATTAACGTTGAATTCCGGGCCCTTTTTGTTCCGCCTTCAGACACCTGTGATTGACAGTTGCGATGTCAACCACAGCTCCTTATCTTTAGACATTTTGTGAGAATCATCATACTGTTGTTAGCCACAGACAAGCTCAAAGGTCATGACCAGGAGGCACCGACTCGCACTTTTGGTCATCAGCATCACTGTCTTCATCCCCATCGCGGCAGTTATTTACCACCGCCTCGTAAATTCATCATATTCGGGGTTTAACCCGTTCTCTTCACAAACCACCACCACCACCACCATGACTGAATCAAAATCGGCATCACCCATCATCGTGGTCGGCTCCGGCCTTGCTGGTCTCTCAGCCGCCTACACGGCGTTGGAATCCGGTGCACCCTCGGTGTTGATGCTTGAGCGTGCGCCCAAACCAGGAGGAAACAGCATCAAGGCCTCGTCAGGAATCAACGGCGCACCGACGAGGTATCAGCCGCATCCCAAAAATGGTCAAGAAGATGCAAAAGACGTCAAGTCAGATGAGATAGAAAGCTTCCTGTCCGATACCTTTCGCTCGGCCGGATCGCGCTTGCCATCCTCCAACGTCGCCCCATCTGTCAGGAAGCAGCGTGAAGAGCTCATCTCGGTATTGGTGAATAGTTCGTCGTCTGCTATTGATTTTCTGACTCAGGACTTGGGGATCGATCTCAGTGTCGTGGCCCAATTGGGAGGCCACAGCCATGCACGCACGCACAGAGGAAGCGGCAAGACACCGCCTGGGGCGGCTATCGTGACTACCTTGTTGAGCAAACTCAAGGAGTTCGGCGAGGAGAGGTTTGTGCTCAAGACTGCGAGAGAAGTCACCAAGATCCTCACTTCCGATGAAGGAGACAGAGCTGGTCAGGTTGTAGGGGTCGAATACAGGAATATTGGAGCGGGTGATGGTCCCGCCGAGTCTGAGATCGCCCTAGGGCCTGTGATATTTGCCACGGGAGGCTTCGCGGGTGATACGCATGGTTTGCTGTCCAAGTACAGACCTGATCTGGCAGGCTTGCCCTCGACGAACGAGCCCCGTCCTGGCGCCCACAAGTTGCTCACCAGCGTCGGGGCCAAACTGATTGATATGGACAGCGTGCAAATCCACCCAACGGGCTTTATCGATCCGGCAAACCCGGGATCCCAGCTCAAGTTTCTTGCCGCAGAGATGTTGAGGGGCGAGGGTGGGATTCTGCTGCATAAAGGTCAGAGGTTCGTGAATGAGTTGGACACGAGAGAGAAAGTCAGCGGTGTCATCATGGGCTTGGAACCTTTGTCTGAGGCGGAGAGTGGTGGGCTGAAGCAGTGGGATGTGCAGATCTTGCTGGATCCCGGCGCAACGGAGGCAGCTGCTGGTCATGTCGGCTTTTATGTTTGGAAGGGGCTGCTGAAGAAGGTCAAGGTGAAGGATTTGGACGAGGCGACTAGGGAGACGTTGAGGGAGTATGCTCGTGTGGTGAGGGGCGAGAAGAAGGATGAATTGGGTAGGAAGGCCTTTGGCCACTGGAGACTGGGTATTTCCACTGATGGCACTATCGACGCCGAAGAGGAAGTGTTTATTGGGAGTGTTACGCCCATTACGCATTTCACCATGGGCGGCGTGGTCTTTGACAGGCAGGCAGAGGTCTTGAAGACTGAGTTGGGAGAGGAGCCGCAAAGGCCCATTGGCGGAATCTGGGCTGCCGGTGAGATTACTGGAGGCATTCATGGGGACAATCGGCTGGGAGGGTCGTCACTCTTGGAATGTGTGGTCTTTGGAAGGATTGCCGGGCAGCAGGCGGCGGCGGCTGTTCATAAAAGGTGATCGATTCTTTTAAACATCTATCTGGGTAACCAGCTACCCCTTTATTTGTTTAATTGATGGCGGTTCCCTTTGGTCCAGCCTGTTCTCCTTTGTCTCACCATTTGGTTCCCATAGCAGCCTTTGTTTATTCCACAGTCGGTAAAAATACCCCTTGTTCGCCAGAAGCTCGTCGTGTCTTCCAGCCTCAACAACGATGCCGTCTTTCACCGAGATGATCATGTCAGCGTTGGACACCGTCGCCAGCCTATGTGCCACGACGATTACAGTCCGTCCCTGGTACCACTTCTTCAGATAAGTCTGGATCCTGTCCTCTGTTTCAGCGTCAAGATTGCTCGTAGCCTTGTCAAACAAGACAATTTGAGTCTTTCGCAACAGAGCCCGCGCAATCGCCAGCCGTTGGAGCTCTCCTCCCGATAGTTTCGCCCCCTTTTCTCCTACTTGCTCTTCGTATGCGTTGGTCAAGGACAAGATCCGCTTATGTAACGCAGCCGCGATGCAGGCATCTTCTATCTGCTCTCTCGTAGCGTCAAGGTTTGCATATCTCAGATTCTCGTATATCGTCGTGTTGAATACACCAATATTCTGCGGGACAATGCTGATGTGATCCCGCAACGTAGCCATCCGTACGTCTCGCACATCCTGTCCGTCGATTTCGACAGAACCAGCCGTGACATCGTATGCACGGCAGAGCAACTTGAACATGGTTGACTTTCCTCCCCCTGTCTCGCCTACTATGGCCACCGTCTTGCCCCCTTCGATCTTGAACGAGACGTCTTTGACAACTTCCCTTTGCCCATCATACGAGAACTGGACATGGTTGAATTCTATCGAGCCCTTTCCCAGTTTGAAGTCCGTTGCATCTTCCTTGTCTCTGACCTTGGTCTCCAGTCGGAGAATCTCGATGATCTTGTGGTTGTCGGCAAGGAAGCGGTCTGCATAAGCAACAATGCCTACGAGGTTGTTCATGGGGCTGATTAGTCCGGTCCAGAACTGGAAGAGCATGGCAAAGTCTCCCGCGCTTCTATCGGAATGAAGGATCTGGTAACATCCAAGCAGGCAGACACTTCCGATACCCAGGCAGGAGACAACCTTGGGCGCCAAAGCACTCCATCTGAGGGGCTTCGAACACTGGATCCAAGATTTCCGGCAACTTCGAACCGCGTCCTCGAATCGAGATCGCTCGTAGTCAATACGGTTGAAGTGGGAGACTGTCTGCCAGTTCTGAATCGTGTCCAAGCCGAGACCTGAGACTCTGGTAACCGAGTCAAGGTAGCTCTTGAAACCGTTGCGCTCTTCACTGTCAACAGCTAGCGAGACGGCAACAAAGCCGAAAATGCCCACAAACATGGTGAGGGCGAGGCTCGTGTCAAACACAGCCCAACATGTCGCAATCCCGAAGAATACATCAATGACAGAGGGAAGCTGGCCAAAGACCAGGTATGAAAAGTATGTGAGCGTCATGGTGCCGCATTGGAGACCACCTGCCACATACTCCCCGACTTGCTGTTCTCATGGTACTCGGCTGACTGCTCCAGAAGCTTGTTATACAATGCGACGGTGATTGCATCTTCGGCGCGACCGGTTGCTTGACTTTGGTAAGTCGACGAGACATCTGAGACGACCTTCCCCAGTATGCTATGGCAAATAACAAAGAGTAAGACCTCGACCCAGGGTAGTCGTTTTGCTGCCCGATCATCCGAGGCAAGCACGTCGACCACCTGCCGGAGTAGGATCGGGCTGGCGAGCTTGATGAGTCGGTCTGCACCCAAGCAGACCATGACGACGGAGTAGTCGAATATCATCTGGCGTCGAATGGCCACATCCTTGGGGACTAGGAGCGGGAGAAAGATTTTCAGTTCTTTGATGTGCTCACACCATCCTCGTGTAGGGGGCCGTCCTTCACCGCCCCCTGGCTGCGTTTTGGTTGTCTTCTTATCGTCGCTTGTTTTGGGGAATGTTGCAAGGAGATATATGGTGGATATGAGAAACAGCAGTAGCAATGCCGGGAAATTATCGACGAGGTTCATTGTCGTCAGGCAATATTGAAGACAGAGGGAAGAGGTCAAGGTTGCCTGCGGGCAAGAGCAGAGGTGCCAAAGCGACGTGTAGAGAAAGAGAACAAAGTTCTAAGTTCGTGAGAGCCAACGAGTGACCGCTTTGGGGTGGGGATGTTGAGTCGTGTTCAATTATATATTTGTCAACTTTGTGAGGGGTATGAAATGTCCATGACCGGAGAATGGGCATTACTTCGCTTGCAAATAGTCAACTCTCGGTCACGGATGTGTTTCTGAGAGGCATCATATCGAGCCTAAAGAACCCGATATCTGCCTGCTCTGGATGCTTGGACTCGGCCGCGGACTTGGAAACAGACTGGACGATGTACCTGCAGCAAGAGAAGACAAGGCACCTTCTTACTTGGGAAGGCATATTTCATAGATGCATTTGCATGGAAGGACCTGAAGTGTAGGCTGATGCGTAGATATCGAACTGTGCCTTCTAGGTTGTAGATCACAAGGCAACAATTGTCGTCAGAATACGCGTGTGCATGTGACCAGCCAGGTTGAAGATTCGATGCTTCGTCATATCCACAAGCTGTTATCATCGTCTCAAAGGAGGCCGGCCAGCTTATTAATTAGACGAAGACAACAATGCAAGCCATCTCACTCCTTTGACTCCTTTTCCCAGGTTGTGTTCGGCACAACTTCAGAAGGTAATGCAAAGAGGGTATGGACATGTTGGGGTCATGTTAAGCCAATGCACTTGTTCACGTCGTCCTTGGTTCATCGTGGACTTGTTCACAAGCACGGGGGATCCTTCTGGTCGTTTCTCGAAAGAGACAATCCCGCCGAACATATGGGGGGGCAAAAGGAACAAGCCATTCTTGCCCGCTTCTCTATATCGCTTCATGTACAGAGAGGAACGCAACTGTCCGGGTGCTACCTCCAAACCTCGTACGTACAGTACATGCATTACGGGATACATGCATCTTTCCCCGCCTAGAAATGGGGCACAACTCCACCCCACATAACTGAAACATAAAAATCTGTGACAAGAAGACAGATTTCCACTTCAAGAACCCTTAGTACTGACCCTTGAACATCAAATAAAGATAATCTCATATCCTCTGTGGCGCAATTGGTTAGCGCGTCTGACTGTTAATCAGGAGGTTGGAAGTTCAAGCCTTCCCGGAGGAGTAAAGATATATATTTTTGAACATTCCTCGTATAGGAGCAATGTGATATGTTTTGCTCTTTCTTTTTTTGGTTTTCACTTTTCCTGCTATGCTTCCTATTTTTTTGACCCATCTTGCTTTTCTTTCTTTCACTCTTTGCTCCAATGCTTGTTACTCACTTCTCCGTATAACGAGGCCACAATTTTGGAGTCAAGAGATTGGTGATGGGGATACATCATTTGTGGTGTCTGCCCAAACATTGAGAGGTGAAGTGAAAACAGTCATCAACCAGAATGGGTTGTTAGTCATATCAAGCTCGCAAGGCTCGAATATTTGATTCCTCTATGGTCGTTACCAACCAGCATGCAGAACTTTCCCATATCTGCACCATTTGCAAAGGGCAAATTTGAGCTTCAGCGACGTAAAGCCATGGATCTCCGAGTAAGGGAGGCTATCCTTCGCTAACACAGTCAAAAATACCCCATACCCGTTCTTGGCTAAATCCAGGACAGGTTACTCCAAGAGAAGCTCACTCCTCAGGATCAAGTTGATCGGCCGAGCTCAGGTCCGGCACCCAGCCCTCCGGACGTTCGCTGCCACGGATCATCCTATCATACCCGAGCTTCTCGACCTTCCGGACCGACTGGCGCATAACCTCGAGCTTCTTCTCCCACGTGATTCTGTTTCCAGAGCGCAGGGGGAGCATCTCAAAGAAGCTCCCAAGGTCGTGCATGTCCTCGACGATGGTGCGCTGGTTGTCGCCTGTGTCGCCGCTGGCCATCCTTCCGGTCAAAGCGGATGTGGTTGTTGCAAAGCGCATCATCTCGCCAGAGAGATCAAAGAGTCCGTACACATAGTCATCGTCGGTGAGAGAAATGGCAGGAGCATCTGGATTGATCTCGGATTTTGCCTCCGCCGCTGCAGGCTGCTGCTCGTCGGCGTCGGCCATAACGGCATCTTCAAAAACAGTACCACGGCGTGTCAGATCCTCCACGACTAGGCAGAGCTCGTCGTAGCCAATCAGAGTCTGCGTTTTGATGTAGTGAGCAAAGGTGAGAGCCTCGACAAGTTCCTCGAGACAGACGAGTGACCGGGCGTATCGGTAGCGGTTGATGCCCTGGACCTCGGGGGCGATGGAAGCCAGGAGCTTCGAGATTTCGGTCAGGCGTGAGTCAATCTCGGCTTGGATGTCTGACGGGAGATCCTGGTCGATTTTGCGAACTCTGCAATTGGTCAATATCGAGAAGGACGTGAGAAGTATTATCAATCCGTACCTTTGCAGCGAAAATATTCTAAAAGCAAAGTTGTTAGCAATAAGGTAGAAGGGGAGGAATTGAAAAGCACATATAGACTCACATCTTCTTGCTCAAAGCTGTAATGTCCCGGGACGCTTTTCCGATGCGGTCACGACGGTCATGGTGGGCATCGAGCTCGTCGCGGAGGTTCTCGAACATGGGAGTGTAGGCGTTTCTCACCGCGGGCTTCGCAGCCGGTTTAGGGCCGTCAAACTTTTTGGCATTGCCATGGCGGTCTCTCTTAAAGCCTGATGACATGTTGTCGACCTGAAAGAATTTCCCTTTGATCCTTCGATTCTGTGTACAAGTATGTTTCTCACTTTCGATGCATCTGATGGCATCTGGTGCAAATAAGATTATTGAAGAGTGACGGCTGGTCGAGAGTGAGTAAGATAAAACTACGCCCCGGGGTGGATGCAGTGGCGTTCTTTTGTTTGGTCCAGTGAAATTGTTAGCGACAGTGTGGACCTTGCAGGACATGTATGCTGGCCAGATCAGTTCACGACACCCAATTCAATGCAGGTATCTGAAGAAGAGAACAAATCAAGAAGTCTTTTCTGAAGAGATCAAAATAGTGAGTTGCATCCTGTGGGAATTGAACAGATCATGTGCTCTTTCTTGTCAATAACTTCATTCACTCGCAGCCACTGACCAGCCCCCCTTGTTCAGACAGGAGATGATGAGCTTGCCTTGAGAGCTTCTTTGCAACTTAACGATACTGGAATAGAGGGATAGGAGATATGAAGGAGGTGAAAATGGCAAGACCGACGAATGCAAAACCACCACCTTCGGATTCCTTAATAGAATGCTTCTTCGGCAATCCTCTGCCCATTTATCTGACGGCGGCCCTTCTCCGCATTGTCCTTTTGGTCTACGGGCTCTGGCAGGATGCAAATTCGCCCCTGAAATACACCGACATAGACTACCTGGTCTTCACCGACGCAGCCCGTTTCGTGTCCCGCGGCCAAAGTCCGTACGATCGGGAGACGTACCGATACACACCGGTGTTGGCATGGCTCCTCCTCCCAACGGCTCGGACGACAGGAGATCCATTCTGGGATGTGGTTTGGTTTAGCTCCGGCAAGGTCTTGTTCGCCGTGGCTGATATAGTCGCCGGATGGTTGTTGGTAAAAGTCCTGACCATGGCCGGTGCGGGCAAGAATGCCATGGACGCCACGACGGCACGCAAGTTCGCCGCAATCTGGCTGCTGAACCCAATGGTGGCCACGATCAGCACACGAGGCAGCTCGGAAGGTCTTCTCGGTGTCTTGGTCACGGCGCTCTTGTGGGCCGTATTAGCCCGCCGAGTTACTTTTGCCGGTTTGTTGCTGGGCTTCGGGGTACATTTCAAAATCTACCCCTTCATCTATGCCCCGGCCATAGTATGGTGGATGGATGCCGAGAGGATGTCTACAAATCCCGGTACACCGGAAAAGAAGACGAATGAACAGCAGACCCCGATGGGCCGTCTTCTGTCCTTTATTACTCCAGAGAGGCTCCGGCTCGCTCTGGTCAGCCTCACAACCTTCCTCGGGCTCAACATGGTCATGTTCGCAATGTACGTACTCGCCCTTGGCTTCTTTACTCCTCATTCACTGACAAACAATACAGCTACGGAAAACCTTTTCTCCAGCACACATTCCTCCACCACGTAACCCGCATCGACCACCGCCACAACTTCAGCCCCTACAACACCCAACTCTACCTAACCTCGGCCTTTCCCTCACTCTCAATCTGGCGAATCGAATCCATCGCCTTCCTGCCCCAACTCCTCCTCTCCTGCGTCCTAATCCCACTAGTAACAGCAAAGAAGGACCTTCCCACGTCCATGCTAGCCCAGACATTCGCCTTCGTCACCTTCAACAAGGTCTGCACATCGCAGTACTTCCTCTGGTACATGATCTTCCTCCCGCTCTACCTCCCAGACTCTTCGTTTCTCCGGCACAAGGGCCGGTTGGGGATCTCGGCCCTTGCCCTCTGGGTCATTTCCCAGGGCTTGTGGCTTCAGCAGGGCTATGAGCTAGAGTTTCTCGCCCGGAGCACCTTCCTGCCTGGTCTCTGGCTTGCTTCGTTGGGATTTTTCTTGGTTAATTGCTGGATTTTGGGTGTCATTGTTGGAGATGCCCAGGGCAAATAAGCTCATTTAGGTTGTATATACAATGGCCTCCAATGTTTGATTATAGATTTCTGGCCCTGCTTTTAATCATTCATCGTCTTTTTGTCATATCAAGGCAGTCCACGGATTCGCTCAGTTGGAAAAATCGCAGATAGCTGATCTAATACAATGCTAGTTCATCCAATTCGTCTGCTCTAGAAGCGAAATACACATGGTCCGCTTGTCCATCTTTGGCGGTAAAGTGTCGTTCTGTTCGCTTTCCTCGGGTCCTTATTCTTCCCGCGCAACTACAGACTCTTCCTGCTGGTGAGGACCGCTGGTCAGTCTGCTCCACACCATTTCGGGTGAATGCGGGCAAAACAGAAAACAGAAAACGCAAAACAAATAAAAAACCAGCCACCGAGTCTGTGTCTCGACGATCTCCTCTTCAATATGACCTTGCCGCCTCCAACCTTCTATTACCGTATTAAACCGAAAAAGCAAGACCCAGTCCCCGAAAGATATCATCCCTTGTGTCAAATTGCCCGACCCGAAGAACACCATGCTCTAAAAAAAAAGAAATAAAAAAAAGTGAAAACCAACGTTGCGATTAAAACAGAGAAAACAACGCCAGGAATGGATGGGTAAGTAGCGGCTAGGCTACTCCGTTGCCCTGGCCTGCTGGACCTAGGCGTTCGAGTGATAGGAGAGTATAGTAGTAAGATATGGGCGGATCGATTCATCAGGTAATAGAGATCCCCCCACTGAGAAGCGCGTAGTTTGACAGCTTGAGTGAGAGTGCCTTGGACTTGGGAAAATCAGGACTGATGGTCATGCGGCCGTCCTTGTTGTATCCGACCTCACCAAAGGACTCGGACAAATCCTCGAACTGAGCCGTAGGCCGAACGCGATTGAGCTCGGTGACAATAGCATCACTCCAGACGCCAGAACACCAGCCGTCGCGCAGGAGAAAGTAGGGGTTCAGTGGTGGAACTGGTGAGTCTGGAAGGAACAAAGTGATTTCATGGTTAGCGTTCTCTAAACAAATGAATGAAGGCAGGTCAGCTGTCAAAGTACTTACCAAGGTCTACATATCGGATCCGCAGGCACTCAACCGCCCTGAGCTTTCCCAAAGCACGGATTGCAGCAAGAACAAGTGCCTCGAATGAATTGATAAAGTTCATATCGGTGATCCCAGACCCAGACTCGTTCCAGTTAGCAACTTGCCGGCAGCAGTTCTTGACAGTCAAGTCGATTGATCTGAGGCGGTCGTGTCTAGAGTCGCGTTGTCTGGCAGCCAAGTCGACAAAGAATTGTTTGCAGACTCTTCCCGTGTACGAGATGTGCTCTAGTGATGGCGTTGAGGCAGCGAGCGCCAGCTTGGTACAGAAATGAACCTTGGTGGCGACCTTCATGAAGTAGGGTGGGAAAGAAAACTCGCGCCGGTAGTCGCCTTCGATACAGAGGTTGAGGGACGTCAATTTAAGCGGTTTGCTGAGAATATCGGCCATGGTCAGGTAGCTTTTAGACTTTGGCTTGCTGTACGAGCCATGCCATTCTTGCAAGTTTGGCAAGGCTGATACAATGGTGTCAAAATCATCGTCTCCTCTGATCAGATTCCATTGTCCCTTG